TACGTTCCTGTGCTTTGTTTAGAATATTCTTAAATAAGTTATATATTGAATCCACATCGAAATCCCCATTTAAGTCACCTATCGCTGGGTTCATGTCTCGCTCCAAGACCGGCCCACACCCCATACCCAAGCCTTTCCAATCAATTTGACCCAAAAAATTTCTTAGGCTATTAAAATCAGCTTTTCGAAAATCTGGCACTTTAACAGAATTTTCTCCTACTGGTCTATTCCATTCTATGCTAAATCTGATTTCTTTGTGATCACTGCTCCCTAGCTCACTCCCTATTTCGATGTCATTAATTTGCGTTTCCCTGTTAGTTAACACTAAATCTAAAATATTATTTTCCCGTGTTGGTTCCTTAATGTGTTGCGTAAGAAAGCAATCGTCAATTAATTCTAGAAAATCTTCTGCTTCACTATTCCCTGTTTTGTTCAACCAGTTTATTCCGCTAAAATTAAAGTCACCCATGACATAAATACTGTTAGATCTAGATGCTCTAGATATTTCATCCCATAGATGCTTTGCTTCCATTCTGTCTAAATTTGGTGGCCTATATATTACTCCTATTATAATATTATTAGCTTTTTCGTTTAATTCAATCCAAATAGTTTCTGTGTGTGGCTCTGTTTTGATTCCCTCTTTGAGACTACATTTCAAATTGTCCCTAACATATATGGCTACTCCACCTCCTCGTCTAATATATCTATCTGTGTGAAATAGTTTAAATCCATATATTTGATATTCAGCTAATAGTTCTCTATTTTCTACATTCATCCACGTTTCGGTAAGTGCAATAATATCTATTTTTTCTGTGCAGACAAGAGCATTTAATTCGTTAATTTTATTTCTTAGACTTCTACTGTTAGTGTAATATACCCTAAGTGAATTGTTATTTTGCGGACCTTCTCTTTCCCTGGTCGTTTTGCCAATTCCTTTCTCCCACAAACACATACTTTTATTACCTCCTTCCTCCAAATCAATTCCCATACCTCTATCTACTAACAGTTTAAACCCAAACAAACACCTCTAACCACTTCTTCTAGCGAGTTCGCAACAGCAACAACCCCAGCTCTCGATAGATGCACCCCATCACGAGCATACATTTCATTTCTTCCATAGAAGTGTTCCCAGTTGTCTATGAAAGATATTGCATTTGATTTGCAATATCTTTCCAGCCGGCAATTGACACCAAGTGCCCTCGATATCCATTCATTTCCCACTCCCTTTCTTGGAAGAATGCCACATATGATCGGGATTCCTCCCTTGCTCCTAACTAACTCTATGGCTGTTTTATACCTGTTTTATACCTCTGAATCAGTTAGACATTCTGTATGGTAGTAAGATCTTTCCGCGATTGCTGTAACTTTGTTGAATTTTTTATACATACATTATATGAAACTCGAGAGGAAAATAAACACAGACATAGACTCGCTATCACTTCAAGACGATCTTAATAGGGTTTTGAAATGGTCAAAAGATTGGCAGATGCAGTTTAATGCTGGCAATTGTAAGATTTTAAGGCTAGGTAATGATGATACGGTTACAAAATATGAGCTAGATTTAAGGGAGCCGGTCGGCCGAGCGGACAGCACGCTGGACTTGTGATCCTGTGGTCCTGGGTTCGATCCCAGGCGCCGGCGAGAAACAATGGGCAGAGTTTCTTTCACCCTATGCCCCTATTACCTAGCAGTAAAATAGGTACCTGGGTGTTAGTCAGCTGTCACGGGGCTGCTTCTTGGGGGTGGAGGCCTGGTCAAGGACCGGGCCTCGTATGGGCCACACTAAAGCCCCGAAATCATCTCAAAATCAAAATCATCTCAAGATAGATGGTGTTGAGATTGCGAAGTCGGATTGCAAATGGGATCTGAGTTATGATTAGTAAAAATTTAAAACCAAAAAAATCAATGCAAAAATGTTCGTAATAAGGCAAATAGGACACTGGGATTTATTAATCGAAGCATTACTAATAAGACACCTGGTGTTGTTCTTCAGTTATTTCTTGCTCTGGTTAGGCCCCATGTAGATTATGCAGTTCAGTTTTGGTCGCCATACTATAGAATGGATACAAATTCACTAGAATACGTCCAGCATAGGATGACAGTTAATCCCGCAAATTAGGAACCTCTCATATGAAGAAAGATTGACAAAGCTTAAATTACATTCGCTGGAAAGGCGAAGAGTTAGGGGTGACATTATAGAGATGTTTACTGGTTCGGTAACAGGATTGTTGATTTGTGGAACCAATTACCACGTAACGTGGAGGTGGGGTCCCTTGATTGTTTAAAGCGTGGGGCTGGACAATACGTAATAGTGGTTTTAGGTATTGTATGTACTAGCTCTATCTATAAATCCAACATCATCTATGTATGTATTTTTCCTGAATAAACATTTGAATTTGACATGTATATGAGTGGGATTGGGTGGTTATAAATAGGAGCTGCCTCGTATGGGCCAATAGACCTTCTGCAGTTACCTTAATTCTTATATAACTACTAGCACTAAAGTGTTACTGGTCCTCAGGTTCAGGAGCCTGTACACCAATTAATTAACAGCTGAGGGGGGCGGGAGCAAATAGTCGAAGCTCATTTCCGTAAGCACAACTAGGGGAGTCCATCGGCATGACCATTTGGGTGTACGCCATCTATGTTTTGACAGCAGTACTACCAGTTTACCCCCATGTTATTCGATGATCACGTGAGAGAGCACGGGTGTTATGGTCAGTTGCTATTCTATATATGATTCTAGACAACGTAGGTGATTTGTGGCTTGTTGCGGGCAGAAGTCAGCAGTAACTCTTTAACCAGTGTTGGAAGAAGACGTATAGACCAGTGCGGTTGACCAGCGGGTAAGTTGAGTATTGTTTTGTATTTAGGTGCGTCTTTGTAATAGTCATTTGTGTTAATTAATTTTAGGTTGGGTTAGTTATAAGTTATAATAGTTAAGTTAATATATGTTTTGGGTTTTACTTGAAGATATAATAGAGGGGAGGGGAGGATTTGTATAGGTAACAATAAATTACTTAAGAACATAAGAACATAAGAACAAAGGTAACTGCAGAAGGCCTATTGGCCCATACGAGGCAGCTCCTATTCTATAACCACCCAATCCCACTCATATACTTGTCCAACCCGTGCTTGAAACAATCGAGGGACCCCACCTCCACAATGTTACGCGGCAATTGGTTCCACAAATCAACAACCCTGTTACTGAACCAGTATTTACCCAAGTCTTTCCTAAATCTAAACTTATCCAATTTATATCCATTGTTTCGTGTTCTGTCCTGTGTTGATACTTTTAATACCCTATTAATATCCCCCCGGTTATGTCCATTCATCCACTTGTAAACCTCTATCATGTCACCCCTAACTCTTCGCCTTTCCAGTGAATGCAACTTAAGCTTTGTTAATCTTTCTTCATATGAAAGATTTCTAATTTGGGGAATTAACTTAGTCATCCTACGCTGGACACGTTCAAGTGAATTTATATCCATTCTATAATATGGCGACCAAAACTGAACTGCATAATCTAAATGGGGCCTAACTAGAGCAAGATATAGCTTGAGAACCACACCAGGTGTCTTGTTACTAACGCTGCGATTAATAAATCCAAGTGTCCGATTTGCCTTATTACGAACATTTATGCATTGATCCTTTTGTTTTAAATTCTTACTAATCATAACTCCCAGATCCCTTTCGCAATCCGACTTCGCAATCACAACACCATCTAGCTCGTATCTTGTAACTCTATCATCATTACCTAACCTCAGAACTTTACATTTATCAGCATTAAACTGCATCTGCCAATCCTTTGACCATTTCAAAACCCTATCTAGATCAACTTGAAGTGATAGTGAGTCCTCCTCCGAATTAATTTCCCTACCGATTTTCGTATCATCGGCAAATTTGCAAATGTTGCTACTCAAACCTGAATCTAAATCATTTATATATATTATAAACAACAGAGGTCCCAGGACAGAGCCTTGAGGCACTCCACTTACAACATTTTCCCACTCTGACTTGATTCCATTTATACTAACTCTCTGTTTCCTTTGGTATAGCCATGCCCTAATCCAGCTTAATATAGCACCCCCAATACCATGAGACTCTATTTTTTTAATCAGTCTTTCATGTGGCACTGTATCAAAAGCTTTGCTAAAGTCAAGGTATACAACATCGCAATCCTTACCACTATCAACTGCCTCAACAATGCTAGAATAAAAAGATAACAAATTTGTTAAACATGAACGGCCATTTATAAAACCATGTTGCGACTCAATTATTAATTTATGTTTTTCAAGATGAAGACGAATTTTATTTGCTATTATAGATTCAAAAGCTACGTGTAAGCTACGTGTGGTTTCAAAGTGAATTGATTAGAGGGCCAGTAACCCTAGAGGCCTTTACGGGGATAGGAAGCCGGCGTCTTGTCAATCTTCTTAAAACCGTTTTAATAGTACGGTTTCGACGGGTAGGATGTTTCATAAGTTTATACGTGTACGTGGGAGGAAAGTCTTGGGAGCGTCCACATTAAAAAGCGGTGTTCTCTGGGGAGTGTTTAAAAAGTTAGAGGGCGGCCCCTTAATTACCCCTTAACGTGCAGGAGTATTATTGAAGTGTCCTTGTTAATTGTGGAGAAGCACAAAACAAATCATATTTAAGCAACACATAGTTTCTCCCTCACCCACGGGAGACATTTCCCGTCACGCAGGGTGCAGTCGCACCTCCACAGATCTTCAGTATCATCTATTGATACTGGAAATGGCTCAAAAGGGCCACCACTTATGAGCTATTCATGCCCAAGCCACCTTTTGGGTGGCTTAATCTTCTCTCTACTCATCACACCATTTGGTCCGGGAGACATCTCCCGTCACGCAGGGTGCAGTTGCGCCTCCACAGATCTCCAGTATCATCTTTGATACTGGTAATGGCTCAAAAGGGCCACCTCTTGGGTTGCTTAATCTTCATCAATCTTTCTCCCTCAGTTCTCTCGAGCGAAGCGGACCGAAGCTGGAAAAATTCCATGTGATACCATCCCCTCCGCCATGTGGACTCTTTCATCCCCGTAGAAGTTTGGATTGGTCGTCAGTGCACAATATGGACCCTACACCAGCAACTGCGGCCCCCGCTCTAACGGACCTGCCCCTCTGGGGCCCCTCGACCTCCCGGAGTGACCCGACAGGGGCGTCTGGCCCGCAACAAGAACTAAGGTATGGCCTCGCCTGTGTTTTCCCCCCCACGGAGTATGGAGCCCCTGCTAGGCTAGGACTGTACCCAGTGTAGGCGTGTGACTAGCGCCTTGTCCCTCGGGCTACGCTTCTCGTGCCCTAGCTAGCTTTCCTGGGCCCCAGTGTCCCCCTCGTGGGCACTGGGGGGGGGGGGGGGCCACCCTGGGCCCTAACGGCCGCCCCCCCTCCGAAACTTTAAATAGTGGCACATGAAAGATTAGGCTCATGGTATAAACTTGTTTAGGGCATGGTTATACCAAAGGAAATAGTTGGTATAATGTTGGGGGGGGGGGATATTGAAAGTAGTGCCTAAAGTTCCAAGGATGTCCTGGAACCCATTACTAATAATATAAATTGGATTTGAGCATGAATTGCCAAATAAAAATAAGGGGATATTTTCTTTTTTTACTGAAAATTGGTATATGCAGTTTAATTGACATGTGTAAGGTTTTGAGGCTAGGTAATGATAAAGGTAAGAGCTAGATGGTATTGAGATTGCAAAAGATGTCTAGCAGAATTTAAATTTTGCCCGAGGGGCGAGTTTATTGGGCAGCGCCACTCATCTTGAGTGGACACGCCGCCATAGCAGCAACACTCATTGTTGGAGAGTTGTCCTATTGGGGCGTGTACCACTCTCCAATAGGAAGAAAACCCACTAGCTTGTTCATCCGTGTCACTTGTACCAACTTGTATCTGGTAGATGTGATTAATAAAAGAAAAAAGCATGCATGTTCATAATTAGGCAAACGGGACCATTTGTCGAAGCACTGGTAATGAAACGCCGTGTTCTGATCGGGGAGGAAAAAAGCCAGGAGTTGGGGGGGACTTTAATTTATTAATGTTTACAGAGCAACTGCTGTACCACAATATAAAAGATGTGTAACATGACCGAGTAGAATGCCAGTACTGCAAAGATGCAACTAAGGAATAAGTCGTACGACATTAACCGTGCCTAGTGCCAGCTAGCCGAAGCAATGTTGCAGTACTCTCAATCGGCTTAAAGCTATAATTAAAGACAACGCCAGAGTTAATTGAGTGGCACAGCCAGTACAGTATGTATAAAATATACTCTGTATATAGAGGGCATAGAAAAGAATTTCCAGGGGTAATGATATGCTAGTGCCTAGTTTACATGTAAAGTCTGCAACCCCCAACTTGCACTTGACATATGGTAAGTAGCTGCGGGCAGCCCTAGATTTGGGGATCCGGCGCATCACCCCCACTCCGCAGGCCAGCGCAGCCGATCCCCCACCCCCCGAAGGGCGAGGTGCCCGCTGGCCGCAGAAGTAACTTATCTAGGTAGTGGAATGACGTCTTGCCTGACGTAGGAGTGGAACGCATAACTTTTCCACCTGCCGACTGCTATGATTGCTGCTGGCGCCAGGCCATCCTTGGACATCTGCGTGGCCCTGCCGATTCTGAAGGAGTGCGGAGCATAATCGTTTGGAGGCAGTCCTAGTGCTCGAATGGCAGCACGGAGCACCCATGTGAAATCTTGTCTGGTGACCGGGGCGCCCGTTTCGTCTAGGAATATAGGTCCTGGTTCCATGGCATGGACCGGGCAGTACTTGCTGCAAGGGTCTGCACTCGGGTTTAAAGTGGGGGTACACCCTGCACTGTGCTTGTAAGAGGCAAACGTGATGTCGATCCCCGTCCGCGATAAAGTTAACTGGTCCAAGCGTAGCGTGTGTTGTCCCTTCCCCGCATAGGTTACCTCCCCTGGCCGGAGACAGGCGTAGAAGGCGAGGGAGAAGAGCGCTCGGTAGCAGGTCTTCTCGTAAGTCGAGCAGCAGACACCTCGCAGGGCCCCCAGTAGTAGATGCAGTAGTAGTCTGGTCACGGGCAATCGTCGTGCGGGGAGCCGTTGGGCTTTGTTGCGCGCTCCCTTAAGTAGTTGTGTGACTAGGAACTGGAGAGTAGGATCCTCCCTACCATGCAGCTTAAACATGAAGGCGAGCGCCGCAAGGTAGGCGCTGAGAGAGCGGAAAGCGAAGCCCCGAGACAGCAGCGACTGCAGGAAGTTCGCCAGTGTCGAGGACGAGGCCTCGAAGGGCCACTCCCGTCTCCTGTCGTCCGATACATACGCCACGTACTCCGCCCACTTATGTTGATACGTGCGCCGTGTCGCGGGCTGCAGGGAGTCGAGCAGCGTCCTTACAGTTTCAGGGTGAAGTTGCAGGGCAGGTGGTGCTGCGGGATTGCGGTTGGCTTCTCGGCGAGTCCTGCGTCTCGCAGGAAAGAGGGCGGCAGTACCTGCAGCCGGGAAAGAGTCACAAAACCCGTTTAACTTGCCCGGGAGGTGTGATGGAAGAAGCGTAATATTATGGGCGAGGAGGATGATTGCCAGTGGCCGGACCAATTGCATGAGGGGGCACCTGGCGGACAGATTGCAGCACGTTTACCACAGCGGCGTTGTCGGACCTACACAAAAGCCTCTTGTTTGCTAACACTGGTGCAAAGATGGATATCCCCATGTAGAAAGGGTAAAGTTCGAGGAGCGCAATGTTGAGCCGGCTCCAGTCCGTAGGCCAGGTACCCCTGAACCAGGTAGCTAAGAGTCCGTAACCCTTGGATGAGGCGTCCGCACACATCGCGTGGGCCGTGGCGCTCCCCCATCCACAGTCTGGTGGGAAAAATCGTTATCCCATTGAATGCGCCGAGGAAAGTGTGCCAGGCTCCCAAGTAGAGCTAGCTTCGCCTCCGCGTCCAGCAGGCAGAGGCGTGAGGGACGTTGTACACCTCGTGTGAGCGGGTAGAGTCGTCGGAGGAAGGCCCGTCCCCCGGTATGGCTGACGTGGCAAATTGCAGTTTGCCGATAATCCCCTGCAGGTCCCGCAGGGGAAGGCTCTCGGCCCGCAGAGTGTCTTCCACTGCAGCCATGTCCTTCATCCTCTTGGCGTCCGGCAGCCTTGTCTCCCTACTGCACACGCCTACACAGGGGACAGTCATAGCCTAGGAGGGGCACCACGCTCCTCGTGTGAACCCCAGGCAAGGCCATACCTTAGTTCCTGTTGCAGGCCAGACGCCCCTGTCGGGTCGCTCTGGGATGTCGAGGGGCCCCCAAAGGGCAGGTCCATTAGGGCGGGGGCTGCAGTTGCTGGTGTAGGGTCCATATTGTGCTCTGAAGGCGAATCCAAACTTCTATGGGGATGAAGGAGTTTTCAGAAAGCCCTAGGGTAAATACTAGTTTGGTAATAGGGTTGATTTGTGGAAGCAATTACTACCCAACATTGTCAAAGTAGGATCCCTTGATTTTTTAAAGCGCAGGTAAAGTGTACAGTATATGAATGAGACGATTAACATCAGTAATAAAAAAATGGCAAGTTTCTTGGCCTATTCCTAGACAAGAGACTCAACTTCAGCACCCACATTCAACACATAACCATCAAGATACAACTTCTTCCACTCTACCAATTACCGTCTGCCAAGACAGTTGGTATACTCTCCAAAATTATCTATTCAAACCTCAACCCACATACACTAAATGGATATTATGTTCAATGAACAAACTAACATTAAACCTAACTAAACAAGACTCAACTTCAGCACCCACATTCAACACATAACTAAGAAAGTCTAACAGTTGGTATACTGCTCTCCTCTCACTCTATATTGTGCAGTAATCTACCCCTATCTTAATTATGGTATCTGTGCATGGGGGGTCTACCACTGCAAACCACCTTAAGCCCATCATCACACAGCAAAAATCTGCTATCGGAATAATAACTAACTCTGCTTTCAGACAACACTCGGCTCCCTTGTTTAAATCCCTAAACTTGCTAAATATTAACTCCCTCCACACATTCTCTGTGTCGACTACATTTACAAAACCCTGTTCTTAAATGCAAACCATGCTCTGAAACTCTCCCTGGACAGATGTAATAGGACCCATTATCACCACACCAGAAATAAATCTTTGATATCCCCAGGGTCAAACTTAATCTGTGTAAACACTCTATGTAAATTAAGGGACCTAGTCTATGGAACTCGCTCCCTAGTGAATTGAAAAACAAACTTTTGCCTTATTTAAAAGCAAAACCAAAAAGTACCTAACTTCATCTTAGTTTCCTACACTGAGCTTTAAATTTGCTCTGTACCTAGTGTTACCCATCTCCTAATTTTTATGTAATATCAAACCTTATCATTGTGTTCATTGCTTTCTTCTTTTGTGCTAGCCATATGCTGTATTGTGACTACCAATTTTTGTCAACTACCATTCAAGCTGTCATTGCAATCAATCTTAGCTACCTATGTGCTTTAATATACTGTACCTACAATTTTCTCTAGTCTTCTTTTTAATTTCATGTAATGTTATCATTTTTGTCTATAAATTTTGCAAGTATTTACCTCCCTTAAAATTTTCTTAGATTAAGGACCTGCCCGAAACGCTGCGCGTGCATATTGCTGCAAATATAGGGAACGGTAGTCAAAAATATTTGAATTGTGTAAATAACGTCAATATTGGCTTTACAAGACTGTAATTACCATATTTGTATCCTCTCATTCCTTATGTACATTCTTGTATATGCATAAATAAATAAATAAATTTGCAGGTGGTAAATTCTCCTTCGGCTGCTGCAGCTCTCCAGCCCAGGGCGTTGACTGGCTAGTCTTCAATTGCCTCCCAACATGGTAATGAGGTCCTGAGCTGATGTGATCTGTGGCGAAGAGTGAAAGTTGCCTGAAGTAGCGTATGGCACCCTTTCTAACCAGCAGCTGGCACCAACTTTGGGCAACATCAGAGTGGACAAGGCCCAGATCCTGTGGGAGACCTTCTACACTAACATGTTAAAGGTACAGAATCTTAATCACACCCCCCTTCCCTGGCAGTTTCAGTTCCCCTCCCTCTTTTACATTCCCATAGCTTGAAAAGCTTTATCTTAAACAGCAGCATAGTTTTGTTAAAGAATGAATTTTTGGCTGGGATTAAATATCTTCTAAAGCAGAAAATTAGAAAGTGTCCATGCTTTGGTATTAGTTGGGTGAATGAGATTAATAAGGTTGTATAACTACCTTAAGTTTAACAAAAAAAAAAAAAAAACTTAAACTGAAGCTCCTACTTGTGCAATTTTGATTGGTGGACTGTGACTTGGTCCTTATCGATCTACTGCAAGGTAATATTTTTGGCATTTATGGATTATGCTGCACATAAGCTTCAGAGTTTTCAAGTAACTTGCCAGTCTTCAAACCACTTGTTCGTGTGTGTTTCTTATAAGGTCTCGTAGCCTTCACTTTACTCAAACAAGTCATAATATCCTTATGACAGTCGGGCCAAAAAATAGAATATTGGGTTCTCTCCTGACATGTTTAGTAATTTGTTAGATCCTTTCACTGCTGTTTCAACTAGGTTCTTTATTCATTGTAATGGTTATTTAATGTTTTGTTTCCTGGCAAGTCATGTGGTAGGTTGTGAAAAGCTTCAAAAAATCAATGTTTAGTCCTTTGATGTTGAGTGGTTAATTTGGAAAGTAAAGTTTGCATGACAGCCTTATTTACAGTATTTAAATTTTCTTTGGGGGGTGGGGGCCCTACTCCTTTAAAATTCCTGTAAATGGTGAATGAATCTGACTTTACAGATACAGATATAAAGTCTACTGGATTTGATGGTAGTTTTGTGCTATTTGTGGCCTGTATAAATGGGAGCAACATTTGCAAACATTCCAATCTAGAAAAGTATTGAAAGTAGAGGCACATTTCATGGAAAGTTCCCCTGACCCTTAAACTGTGCATATTACTGCAAATATAGGGAACGGTAGTAAAAAATTTGAATTGTGTAAATAATGTCAATGTTAAATCTCCAACTTATTGGCGAAAGTGTTGTGAAACTTTCATATTTTTGGAAATTGATTTTAGAGTAATTTTGGTAAAAATTTTATGAACAGCTTCTAATAACCAAAACTGAGATTATGCAGTAATAGATGCAAGCATCTGTTCTAGACACGAAGAATAGTGTCCACAAAGTGGATATGCAGTTGGGGCCTTTATCATAAAGTAATACATGGCACAAATAATAATCATACACCATAAATACATTGGACAATGTTAATGTTACTTTCATATTGTTCCAAAAATTTATCTTTTATGGAAATTTTGTAGTTTTTGTTGTAACCTTTACATCCTTGAAAATACATTTTTTCATAACTGTGGATAGAATGAAATTGGTAAACAAATAAATCTATCAAAACTTTGGACTTAATATTTTTGGCAACTTCTTTTTCTGCTTTAAAACTGCAGGTATTCTCTTTAGGTTAGTTTGATTATACAAGTGAAAAAGCCCTAATGGTCTAAAGTATACCCTAAAGATATCCCCTAAATCAGAATTATCCCTAGTTTTTTATTTTATTTTTTTTTTTCTAGACTTTAAATTTAAACACATTGACCTAGAACTCTCACATTAGAGTATGAATGTTTATTAAAACATGGTTAAAGTAAAAATAGTTCTATAATTACATAACTTCAATTATCTCTGGTTTCGGTTTCGTGTTTGAGTTTTCCGATTATCACTATTTTGATTGTGCTCGGCTGTCTGTTATAAAATTCCATCGGACTGGATTTTTCTTAAGTTATATAAATTTAGAGTTGTAATTTTTTAGTCTAAAATTGCCACAATTCAAATGCCCTATTGACTATTTTTTTTTTTACAGAAAATATACTGAACCTATATTCTAACTTTGTTCTGAGAATGTTAAATTAATAATTCATTTTATATTCTGAATTAAATTTAAAGTTCTGAATATTAAATTATAATTTAGAATCTTTTGAATGTTATGCTCTAATCATTTAGACAGTTGGAGCCCTTGCCTAGTTGATTATGCAAAAATAGTTTTAAAACTTGTTAAATTGTCAAATGATGGTTTAAGGGTTAACTTTGCATTTAAATATCCACACCTGTGTTAAATTTTTTGGCTTTTCAACTTGTATCCCTTATGGTATATCTTGATTCATCCTGTACACCTGCTTAACATCCATGAATGTTTTGGTATATAAAGTTGAATACTGATATAATGGTTAATTTAATGTTTGTGTTTATCAGATGACACGCTAAAGTGGAGCCAGTTATGTTACTTGGTTATCGTCTAGTATGTAGTTTGGTCAAAATGGTTTTTGGTAACAATCTTCTGCCATGTTGAATGTCCTTGTATAATTGTCCTAAAGGTTGCAAAGTGTAGGTTTGTGTACTTTGTGGTATTTTTGAGTAGTTTCTTTCAGAATTTGAAGCCTCTGTAGGTTAGGATATTATAGTCTACATGTTCCAAAAGGCTTTGCTTAGTTTCTAGGTTAAACTACCTATATAATCCATACTGTAGTTCGTTGTACGTGCAAATGATATTTGGGAAAGCTGTAGTTATTCCCATAATACTTAATTATATCTTGATGTCGTAAGCAACTTGATGGATTGCCATTCTTGTTCTTTGAGGGTAGTGTATAAAATTGTGCAGACCTTTTTAGATGTTGAAAAATAGTTTCAGTTGGCAAAGTAGGTAATTATTTGTTCTGTTAAACTTGGTTTAAATTAAAGAATTGGCTTGGTAGTTGCAGAAAGATAATTTATAGTTGAATAAGTCTCTTTGTTACTATTGTGTAACTAGTTTTAATTGTCAATGCTACAAAGTTTTTCATATTGGTAATCTTTGAATCTCTCTACCAAGAGATTGGCAGCATACGAGGTGCATAATCCAGCTTTGGTCTTGGAAAAGTTGTAAAAAAATTAGATTAACTAGAGTAAATGAAATTGGAAACTGTAGTGTAGGCTTGTATGGTCCTTAGTTGAGTTGCATAAAAAACCTCTAGGTATTTATCAGAATATTTTAAAGGTTGTAGGCTGTGCCTATTGTAATGTAGCATTGATGAATGCGTCTGCCTTATAGGTCCAAACAATTAAGTTTATAATCTAGTATCTAGGCATGGTTAGGAAACATGTTCACAACTGTATAAATTGTAAAGTAAATTTTCAATAATTGAAATCAGTGGTGCAGTTAATGTGTGCTAAAAGAGTTTAATAATTGATTATGGTCCACAATCTTGAATGGTAGAATGTGCTAGTGTAGCAATTATTTCCAGAAAGTTGATTAAGTTGGAATGGTTAAAAATGTTAATATCTAGGTAACCCAAGGCTCTAAGATGTATCAGTTTTATTTTATTTATTTTTTTGTTACAGGTAAAGAAACTAATTTTGCTAGTTAGAAGACTGGCTACTGTAATGATTGAGCCTGTTTAGTGGAGAATAGTGTACTGTATAGTAGATATACTCCATTGTCAATGAAGTACATAGCTGGCTCTCGGGTGAATCATTGTATGGGAAAACTGGAAATGTGTAACTTGTCCTTATTGGTAATTTAGTAAAAAAAAGAGCTAGCATGTTGCATAATAGAAATTGTTTGTGGTAAAATGTTCATTGCACACAACATAACAGCAGCTGTTAAATGTCAGACTAAGTGGGTGAGATTAGTGGTAAATGAAAGATTGAAGAGTGCATCATTACTAGATTCTCGCAACTTTTCCTTGCATGGTCAGTAATATAAGATTATATGGTAGTAATTTTGAGGATTTGTATACTTGTGTATTTGGTGTAATTATGTGTAGAAATGAGCTGTTATTGTATGTTTCATAAACTTGGTAATATGACCTGTTATACTTACAGCAGTTTGAATATTAAAGTAACTAAGTGCATAATTTGTAAGTTTAATAATAGAAAGTTTTAATAAGTACAAAGTTGTTAATTCAGATTTTTTCACTTGATGGGTGGAGAAGCATAATCTGCAATGACCCCTATAATGTATCAAAATTAAATTTGTGGTAGCATATAACTGAGTATGGTCCCTTAAGTTAGTGACTTACCTTAAATAGTGATGAATCGTGGTATGAGACCTGTTGCTCTTGGGTAAAAAAAATTTTGGCCGTTTTGGAATGGGTATTAATGTTCTTGACACTGTCTTGAGACTAATTGACTAGTTACTGGATTATAATTATATGGGTGTCATGGGCCGTTGATGATTTTTGAGTAAAAAGGTGATGCAAGGTTTATTTTTTAACCTACTTGAATGTAGTTGTTTGTAAGCACTAGTGTGGTGCATGGGATTGAATGATCACTGCTCCACATTGTGATAAAATAGATTCCTGTTGCATTGAAGTTTTGCAAGTTGAATAAATGTTTTGGCAAATATTGGTGTAGTTGTAATATTGTACATTGTTAGAATAAGGATTAACTTGGTGAATGGGTGGTTATATTGCTTTTTAATCTTGGTACTTTGTTATAGCAAATGTTTGTATTTGAAGGTAGTTTAAATAAGTTATAAACTACTTATTGGTAATAGTTGGCAACATAAATTTTAAAGTATTGGGCATTATAGGAAGTCTGTACCCAAATTTATGTATATTGGGATATTTAATGTAGGTGCACGTAAGCTATAAGTTGAAAGATAATAATGTTAATCTAACATGTTAGATTGTCATTGCCCATATTGTAGATAGTCATGGTAGGTCTTCTACGTAATGAGGTTTGTGATGGTTTAAGCTCTTTACACGTGGCAACAAGTAATTGGTTAATACATTTAGATCTCTGTATAGTTTTCTATTTCTTAAAATAGAAAATCCCTTTGATCCCAAAGCAAGTGCTTGTGATTTAGCATATATCTTGGGTGTAAGTTTTTAACTATCCTTTGTTGTATAAATGTATTATTCTACTGTACAAATCTCTTGTGTATACTATGAGAACTGTTGGTAATCATTTAAGTAATGATTGGTTCAAAATCCCAGTTGTGTTCTGGGGAACGTAGGACAGTTACCTGAAATGCTACACATGCTAGTGGGTGTAAAAGAATGTAAGAACTGTGACATTTTGTTGCCTTCTATAATTAACTTATGAGCTAAAGCTTGGTTTGCCTGCAATGTTAGAGATGCATAATATTCCCAAAGACTAATGGTGTATTGTAGTAACAATATGGGGGATGTGGGGGAGGGGGGGAATCCTGACAAGATTTATTTTGAAAAATAAATGTTTGCTACAAAAATTGTGTACTTCAAAGAACTTTGTTCTATAATTTAAATGAATGAAAGATGGTGAGGGGAAGTAGGAAATTTGTTAGTGTAGTTTTAAAATAGCAAATAAAGTTTAAAAAAAAAGCTGTGCAAAAAAGTAACAATCTTTAATGTTCCATTGACAGGTTGTGGAGGGTCCTTCGAAACAACTTCAGGAACAGCGTACAGAAAAATTGCCTCTAGTGATGCTACAGGAAGTAGCATGTTGTATGTCGGAAATATAGAGGGCAAAAGTAAGTTTACTGATTAGTTTAACGAGTAGTTCTTAAATATTTAGGTAAAAATTGTGTAAAATTGTGAAGGGGCCTGGAAATAGGAAAATAAGTTCTAGACCTTGACAAGTGGGTACAAAAGTTTAGTTAGAAGAATTGGTTTGAATAGCATAAAAAGGATTTTAATTTGTAAAGTGGGGTGTTTACTCTTAAATAGAATAAAATCTGATGTTTAGGGTATTTATAATTTAAGTGTTAATTAGTTTGCTTTGTGTTCGGTTAGTTTGGTTGCAAATTATTTGAGTTTGTTTTGTCTATAAATTGCACAATCACAAGTGATGCATCAAATAAATCCACAAGGGCTGTGAGGGTTCAAATGTCAGATTGTGGATGTACCATAATTGACTGCCATGACAAACTAAAACTTAAACTGGGAGGCCTACTGACCTTACAGCTCCTGCATTCCTGGTTTGGTGCCTTTTGATAATTACTTGCTCATGGCTCCTGCAGTAGCTTTGAACCCTCATGGATTTGTTCATCTAAATGTTTAACTTGTGTTCATAACTGAAAGTAAAAACTAATGATGGTACAGAAATGAAATAGACTAGTAACTGTACTTCTTATCCATAAATAAAAATGTAAATGTTTGTTAAAAATTGCTAATATCCAATAGTTCTTCAGATTGCTTTGTTAAAATTTCAATGTTACATTTGCATCAGAGTAGGTTTTTATATACATATTATATTGATGTCACGTCTGTGACGAGAAACTTTTTTAAATTGTTTTTCAGTGTGATTTTGACGATCTTTGAAACCTCTTTACCAATTACTTTGAAGTTTTGACATGTTGCATTCGAATAGGCATGTTTCTATATACATGCCTTACCTGTGACTAGAGGAATTTGTTTATTTTTTAACATTGCCATCTGTTGGATGTAAGAGCCACACACTGTAATCTCCCCAAGTTCTTCAGATTGCTTTGAAACTGACACAACGTTACATTCGAATATGGGTATCTTTTCATATACCTACTATATAGATGCCACCCCTGTGACAGGTAAAAAAAAATATGCATTTTTGAAAAAGGGGACCATCTGTTGCACATAACATGCTAACTATACTGTTACATTCCATTTCAATGTTTCAGATTGCATTCATATAATTAAATAAATCTAAATCTTTGTAAATAATTTTTAAGTGTTTTGTGACATTGTGGAGATAGAGCTGTGTTTACCATAACATTCATTTTATAGGTATAAATATAGATGCCACACCTGTTATAGGTAAAGCTATGCTTTGAACAAATCCTGTTCTAAGCAGAAACTATGCTTTTCTTGAAAAAGTGCCATCTGTTGAATGTAAGAGAAACACGTGCTATACTAGATGTTACAATTCAATTTAAATATGATTGCATTGATAAATTGAATTTTCATAAGTTTAGATTATTAATTTTGCTTTATTTTGTGAATTGCATTAGAAATGAGCCGTGTTTACCATACTGTTCATTTCGTGAGTACTTTTTTTGTTACTTTTTCATTTCATTTTTAACTTATATTTTGGTGATGAACATCAGATCACTTGATGTTCCAAGTTTTCTGATCAGGAAAATCACACAATATGGGAAGGCATTGGACGAGGGAGTTGGGAATGGTGGGGATAGCGAGGGGACGGACAAAGGGAAGAGGGGGGGGGTAATGGTGGAAGGATGAGGGGATAGGGAAATGGAGAATGGTTGGAAGACAGAAGACGATGAGGGGGGGAAGACTGGGGGACAGAAGGTTGCTGTGGCCAGGTTGTGCTAGTTTGTTAAAAAAAAAAAAATTGAAGTTTAAATAGGCTTTTTCTTTCAGAATATGGATTGGAAGTCTAGAACGTCATCCTAGACTTTGAAGGTGTTGATTGTTTGACATTCAGAATCAGCCAAGTGGTAAATATTTAAACATGTTTGCATTGTATTAAATATTGGTTTTAAACACTGTAGCATTATGGCTAAAGATCATCTAAATGATGGTTGCATGTAATGTGAAGTCAAAATTGCCACAAGTCTGAAGTATCTTTTTCCACTTTAATGTACTCATGACTACTCAAACTATTTAATACAGACTCTAAGTTTTGTGCTTGATTAGCATTAGTGAGAATTTGACAATATTAACATTTTGGTAGATTTTAAAGGAACATTATCCATTGTAAATTTGCAAAGCAACTTGCAAAAGTTCAATACAGAATTTACAAGCCAATTTGGTTAAATGTTTCAGGTTCTAATGAAGATTACAATGGTATCAAAGTGACTGGCTAAAGTGTGGCTGTTCTAATGTGCACATCTATAAAGCTGGTAAGTTGACTTGCATGTTAGCTATATAAATTGTAGTACAAATATGGGGGGGGGGGGAATCCTAACTATAAATTTTATTTGAAAAAAAAAATTTGTAGCTTAATTTTTACTTAAAAGGGGTTTGTTCTGTAACTTATAAAAGATGGGGTAAGGGGGGGGGAGTAGCTTATTTATTAATGTAGTGTTAAGGTGAATATTTAATTTTAAAAACAAATTGCTGTGCCAAAAAAATTTAATAACCATATTTAATGTTCCATTGACAGGCTGTGAAGGGTCCTTCTAACATCAGGAACTGAGTACAAAGAAATTGCTGGTAGTAGCATGGTTTTGTCAGAATTAGAGGGCAAAGTAAGTTTATTGGTAATTAGTTTAATAGCTAGTTTTTAAATATTAAAGTAAAAAATTATGTAGGGGCCTGTAAATGGAGAAAATAAAAAGTAGTTCTAGGCCTTGACAAGTGGGGTACAATATCAGTGTAGTTGTTGCAGGAATTGCTTTGAATAGCATAAAATTGTAATTTTAAATAGAATAAAATCTTAAGTATTTATAATTATTTATATTTAGTCTTCTTAACTTTCAGTTCAGTTAATTGTTTGGTTAAAAGTTTGAAATTTATAGATGAAACGGTGTGATGCATCAAATGAACAAATGTAAAAGGGCTGTGATGAGGGTTAGGATGTTGGAGGATTGCAGATGCACCTTAATCGACTGTGCCATGATATGGTAAAAGAATTGCAACTGGGAGGTCTACTGACCTAATGGCTTGGTTTGAACCCTCATTGATTTGTTCATATAAATGTTTGTAACAGAATTTCATAATTGAAAGTAAAGTTAAAACGCAAAAAAATAACTAGTAACTGTACTTCATCTAATTGTAATATAATTGAAGTTTAAATGTTTTTTCTTTCAGACTATAGATTAGGAAGTCCAGAACATCCTAGAGTTTGAAGGTGTTGATTGCTCGACATTCAGAATCGGGTGAGTGTGGTAGTAATAATAAATTAAAGATTTGGATTATATTAAATAGTAAAGTTAAACAATGTAGCATTATGTCTGAAGTATCTTTCTCCACTTAAATGTACTAAAGAAACTTAGCTTGAATAGCCATACCTACCTTTTTATTTGCTTGATTAGCATTAATAAAATTTTAGCAGATTTTTAAAGGAACACTACCATTGTGAATTTGCAAGGAAACTTAAGTAAAAAGCTGTTTATAAGGTAATTTGGTTAAATGTTTCAGGTGCTTTGCTAGATTATAGTGGTATCAAAGCAGCGCGTGGCTGTTCTGCTCGGCACATCTATGGAGCTGGTATGTTGAATTACATGTTTTTGCTATATTGTATTACCAATATGGGGGATGCAGGGGGGGAATCCTAACTTTAAATTATAACTTAAAAGGGCTTTGTTCTAGAATCAATAAATAAATGAAAGATGGGGTGGGGGAAGTAGGTAATTTATTAGTGTATTTTGAAAGGCAAACATTTAAGTTTAAACATTGCTGTGGGGAAAAAAATTATTAACCATATTAAATGTTTCATTGACAGGTTGTGGAGGGTCCTTGTATGCTACAGAAAGTAGCACGGGCTGAGCAGACAGCACACTGGAGATGTGGTCTCGGGTTGAATCCTGGGTGCTGGCAAGAAATGCTGGGCTGAGTTTCTCGCCCTATGCCCCTGTGAGTTAAGTCAGCTGTAATGGGTTACTTTGTGGGGGGGGGGGGGGGACTAAAGGCCTGAAATTGCGAAGATACTTTTGCCCTCTATCATTCTGATAGTTAAGTTTACTGCTATAATTAGTAGTATTAAAATATTTAGGTAAAAATTGAAGGGGCCTGGAAATGGAGGATAAAAACTGTAGTTCTAGGCCTTGACAAGTGGGTACAATAAAAGTTTAGTCCTTGCAGGAATTGTTTTGAATAGCATAAAGAAATTTTAAAATGGTCACTTTACATTTTATTCACTTTAAGAATTGAGGGTATTTAGAACTATTGAATTAAATGGTAGTTGGTTTGCTTAACTTTGTGTTAAGTTTTCTTAGTTCTTAAATATTTGGCTAAAAGTTTTTCATCTATAAATTGCACACCCAATAGTGATGCATCAAATGACCAAATCCACAAGGGCTGTGATGAGGGTTCAAATGTCAGAAGATTGCAGATGTACCATACAAGAGACAAATTAAATATTGACTAGTAACTGTACCTCATATTTTTTAATGTAACTAGTTTAAATAAGCTTTTTCTTTCAGAATAAGAATTGGGAAGTCCAGATGTTCATCCTAGAGTTTGAAGGTGTTGATTGCTTGACATTCAGAATGGGGTAAGTTTTGGTGAATATTTTAAATAGAAAAATAAGTAAGGCATCAGTGGTTGCATGTAGATAATGTAAAGTAAAAATTATCTTTCTCTACTTTAAAGTACTTGTTAAACTTAAATAATTTGAGTAGCCATATCTAAATCTTTTGCTTTTAGCATTAGTGAGAATAAAATGTTAACATTATAAGGAACATTAGCCATTAGTTTGCAAAGCAACTTGTAATACAAGATGTATAAGCTAATTTGGTTAAATGTTTCAGGTGGTAATGAAGATTATGATGGCATCTAGGAATTGACTGGCTTAAGAAGTGTGGCTGTTCTACTCTGCACATTCCAATAAACTGGTATGTTGAATTAAATGTTTTAGCTATATCAAATAATTAACTTGCTTTCTTTTTTATCTAGTCCATTTATAGATGTGTACCAAAGTCCTACTGTTACCACCTGCAGGGATTGATGCAGTTTGTACTGATCCTACCCCATTTCATAGAAGGGGACCAGGCAGTCCTGCAGATTTCCCTGGCTTGGCTTTTTCAGAGCCCTGCTCTACTACCCATCCAATAGATGGACTAGAATTGCATAGGTGTAGGGACCCTTAACAATGTGCAAACATTGTTAATAACTACAGGGCTTGTTGACTGAAAGAGTGGATACATCTAGAGGTTTAGTGCCTGGAACATGATGTACATAGGCTTGTTGTGAAGTCTATGTACATCATGTTGAGGGCACTAAACCAAAAGATGTGTTCCACTGTTTCAGGCAACAAGTCCTGCCTCAAAATGGAAGTAAGGGGTAGGCCTTGCTGAGCCAATCTTAAAAGATTGGGACTTAGGGGTTTTTGTAGTAATTTGTATGTGTTAGTGTTAATAAAATGAGTGTCCCTGTTTGATATACTTTATTTTTCTTTTACAGGTGGTTGTTGTCCTTGGTACTCTGGATGTTTTCCTGGCCTTTGAAGTCTTCAGTTGAAACCTCAACCTGAAACATACAATTGTCAACATTAGTTATATTGTATACTATTTAATAAATCTTTTAATGAAAATACTTTATATACTTTATCCTGAAAGTAGCTATAATTTAATCATGCTGGAAATTTCTATTACAAAGTCTTGCTAACAATATCTAAAAAACTTTCTATAAGAGTTTATATAAAGCTATAATAAACATATTATAAAGGTATACAAAATATATAAAGGCAATATAAACTTAAGTTTATTAATTATAAAGCTATATGTTTATATATAACCAAGTTAAAGTTTATATTATAGCTTGGTTATATATAAACTTATATTATAGCTTTATATAATTAACTAATAAACTTAAGTTTATCAGTCTTAAAGGTAAAATATATAAGTAACAAGTTATATATAAAGAGGTAATATACCTTTTAAGCAACATTATATTTTAAGTGAAAACTAATTTTGACAACTTAAAAGCTTTGCATACCAAACTAGACTTTCATTTTTATAGTTCACGTTAAACTGCAAAAGATAATTTAATCTTAATAATGCCAAAAATTTAACTTAAAACAAATAAAAAGTTAAAGCTATGGAACATTGATGTAAATTTTTACGTCATTTCCACTAATCAATGATAAGATTACACTAAATTAGCTAAAAAAAATTTCCCACAAGTGTCTTACTAAATGCCACAACTTGATAGGAAACACTTTCATGTGTTTCCTATCAACAATACCAAACCCTTCAATTTTCTACTAGTCTAAGAAGAAAAGAAAAAAACCATTAGACATGTCCAATCTGTTAATATTTGCTGCACTGAAGTGTCCTACCAAATATTAGTAATGAACACTAAATTATTCACACCAGACATTCCATTACCACAAATGTTTCAAACTGCTGAATATAACTATTTCAAGATAGTGTATATATATAAACTATCTGCCTATAACAAACACCATAAATGGGAAGAGCCTTACAAACTAACATTCAAAAAACTTCAAATACCTGGAATTCAATCCAAGCTATTAAATGGACAGCCAAACTTACTGCCACTTAAACTCGCTAGATAGATTTCAAATGTTACTCAAATTTTTGAAACTGCCAAGCAGAAAACTTTCAAATTACTTTGACCTCACATCTGCAAGGTCCAGAAGGGAAGAAACTAATATTTTTGTCAAATCAACAAAACATTGGTTTGTTAAAAACAAACCTGTTCACATTTTTTTTCTGATAACCAGCTATTCAAACACACTGTTTGATAAAGCACCATATGAAAGGCTACGAGTGAAATATGAAGCACATGGAATAAAGGATAAAAAGATTGCTTAATTAAAGCTTCCTCTGAAACAGATTTGACTGGAAAATACGGCATGAAGCGTACCACAAGGGTCTAAACCTTATATACCTCAATGACAAATCAAATTATTACAAACCACATCAATTTTGCAGATGACACCAAGATTTATGGTACAGAGAACATGAACAAATGATATCGAGCCCTTACAAAGATCTACGGCAACTCTAAAAATGGTTACAAGACTGGCAAATTCTTATTATTATATACACTATTTAACATTGCAAAACCTTACAGGTGACCCACAACAATCCATATCACAACTACCACATTAAAATGAAGAAGAACAATGAAATAAAGGACCTTTGAGCTAGATTCCATCATTAACCAAAAGTTGCTCCAGTACACAAAAATTACTAACAAAACCCTACAATTAATCAAGCGACCTTTTGACTTTAACGAAAAGAAGGTAGTTATTCTAATGTCAAAACATTTATACACCAGATATCTATAATCACTTAGATAATTGTACCCAACCATGAAGAACCCCCACCTTCTTTACAAAAACACATCTACTTTCAAACAACAACACTGCCCAACACAAATATTTCTAAAACTAAGTCGACTAATACTAGGAACAACTGAAGGCCACGACAAACACTGCAACTCTCTCCTACCCCCAAGTCTTATGCTATTAATGATCCATTTTATTTTGACATACTTCCTACAGACGAGACCAGAGACAGGACGATCTAGTGAGTAAACTGAAGCACGATACAGGTGTCAACGGACATCAGTCAGCCCACTTGTCACCGCAGTGGATAAACTAATAACATTATAACCTGCAATTTTGTATGACTCCCTGTGGCCATTTAAATCAATAAAACCCAGGGTTGTGGCAATGTTTATAGCATAAGGTAAGGTATACAAGAATGCCTGGTAATGTCTAGTCCTTGTATGTGCTTTAGGCAACCAAACTGAACAACAACATTGCTCGTGTTATACTATTTTATCCGAGTTTCTCATTCGGTACAACCTTTTAAACCCAAATAGGAATGCGCTTTAAAGATCCATTTATTTGGAGATTCTACTTACACAATCTAAATTACCGGTCTCTGAAAGTACTACGAGATAAGTTTAACTAGATGAGTGTTTGCCTATCCACACTCACATGAGGTATGTGACAACACTGAATAAAGAAAGGGCCTTTGAGCATTCAGCATGCAACAATTAGACATGACATAACCAATATAGCCAGGTCATACTGTACCCCCCCTCCTACCTACCCCCTAACTCCTTCCCCCAATCCTATCACTCCTGCCCTCCCTTCTACCCCCCTCCCTACCCCCCTCACTCCTACCCTCCCTCCTGCCCCCTCAATATGCCCCTCCTACCCCCATCACTTAAGTTATTTATCTGCTTTTATTCTTGTGTTTTGCTTTATCGTCTATCTTGTATCGTGATCCCTCTGCATCTCTATGCACACTGATATTGATCCTGATCAAAATCTTCTGTCTCATAGTGACAGACACCAATATGTAACCATCAATGATACAACTTCTTCCACTCTACCAATTACCGTTGGCGTGCCACAGGGCAGCATCTTAGGACCTCTTCTATTTCTTATATATATAAACAATCTGCCTAATGTCTCTAATATTCTCAAACCTATATTGTTTGCTGACAATACTACCCTTATCTATTCAAACCTCAACCCACATACACTAAATGTGAATAATGAATTAAAAAAAGTCCACTTATGGATGTCAATGAACAAACTAACATTAAACATCGAAAAGACTTGCTACATCTTATTTGGAAGCAAATCAAATGCAATTCGGCTACAGATAGACAACATTAACATCAGTAATAAAAATGATGGCAAGTTTCTTGGCCTATTCCTAAACAAGACTCAACTTCAGCACCCACATTCAACACATAACTAAGAAAGTCTAACAGTTGGTATACTCTCCAAAATTGGATATTATGTTCCTAACTCTGCTCTCCTCTCTATATTGTGCACTAATCTACCCCTATTTTAATTATGGTATCTGTGCATGGGGGGTCTACCACTGCAAACCACCTTAAGCCCATCATCACACAGCAAAAATCTGCTATCAGAATAATAACTAACTCTGCTTTCAGACAACACTCGGCTCCCTTGTTTAAATCCCTAAACTTGCTAAATATTAACTCCCTCCACACATTCTCTTGTCAACTACATTTACAAAACCCTGTTCTTAAATGCAAACCATGCTCTGAAACTCTCCCTGGACAGATGTAGTAAGACCCATTATCACCACACCAGAAATAAATATCTCTTTGATATCCCCAGGGTCAAACTTAATCTGTGTAAACACTCTATGCAAATTAAAGGACCTAGTCTATGGAACTCGCTCCCTAGTGAATTGAAAAACAAACTTTTGCCTTATTTAAAAGCAAAACCAAAAAGTACCTAACTTCATCTTAGTTTCCTACACTGAGCTTTAAATTTGCTCTGTACCTAGTGTTACCCATCTCCTAATTTTTATGTAATATCAAACAACTTATCATTGTGTTCATTGCTGTCTTCTTTTGTGCTAGCCATATGCTGTATTGTGACTACCAATTTTGTCAACTACCATTCAAGCTGTCATTGCAATCAATCTTAGCTACCTATGTGCTTTAATATACTGTACCTACAATTTTCTCTAGTCTTCTTTTTTTTCATTTCATGTAATGTTATCATTTTTTTGTCTATAAATTTTGCAAGTATTTACCTCCCTTAAAATTTTCTTAGATTAAGGACCTGCCCGAAACGCTGCGCGTGCATATTGCTGCAAATATAGGGAACGGTAGTCAAAAATATTTGAATTGTGTAAATAACGTCAATATTGGCTTTACAAGACTGTAATTACCATACAGTTTGTATCCTTGCATTCCTTATGTACATTCTTGTATATGCATAAATAAATTAAATTTGCAGGTGGTAAATTCTCCTTCGGCTGCTGCAGCTCTCCAGCCCAGGGCGTTGACTGGCTAGTCTTCAATTGCCTCCCAACATGGTAATGAGGTCCTGAGCTGATGTGATCTGTGGCGAAGAGTGAAATAGTTGCCTGAAGTAGCGTATGGCACCCTTTCTAACCAGCAGCTGGCACCAACTTTGGGCAACATCAGAGTGGACAAGGCCCAGATCCTGTGGGAGACCTTCTACACTAACATGTTAAAGGTACAGAATCTTAATCACACCCCCCTTCCCTGCCAGTTTCAGTTCCCCTCCCTCTTTTACATTCCCATAGCTTGAAAAGCTTTATCTTAAACAGCAGCATAGTTTTGTTAAAGAATGAATTTTTGGCTGGGATTAAATATCTTCTAAAGCAGAAAATTAGAAAGTGTCCATGCTTTGGTATTAGTTGGGTGAATGAGATTAATAAGGTTGTATAACTACCTTTAAGTTTACAAAAAAAAAAAAAAAAAACTTAAACTGTAGCTCCTACTTGTGCAATTTTGATTGGTGGACTGTGACTTGGTCCTTATCGATCTACTGCAAGGTAATATTTTTGGCATTTATGGATTATGCTGCACATGATAAGCTTCCAAGTTTTCAAGTAACTTGCCAGTCTTCAAACTACTTGTTCGTGTGTTTCTTATAAGGTCTCGTAGCCTTCGCTTTACTCAAACGAGTCATAATATCCTTATGACAGTCGGGCCAAAAAATAGAATATTGGGTTCTCTCCTGACATGTTTAGTAATTTGTTAGATCCTTTCACTGCTGTTTCAACTAGGTTCTTTATTCATTGTAATGGTGAT